CTCTCTCTCTCTCTCTCTCTCTCTCTCTCTCTCTCTCTCAATCTATCTGTCTATCACCTGTCTCTTATACACATCTAGATGTGTATAAGAGACAGCAATCAATGCTGTCTGTCGGACCTTCCCACCATAAGGGGGAGGAGCGTGAGTGAGTTATCAGTGTACTCCCTTCTGACTTGCCGGCGGAATAGGAACCGGACTGATGTTCCCTATAATGGACATGAACCCAGGGCCATAAGGACCTGTTTTTTTTGGGGGGGGGGCAAATCTGGCAATAGCACGCACCTATGAGTGTTTGCTCCACTTTTCGGCGGATATCCTTTCCTCCCACCTTTTCCAGTTTTTGCAAAAGCTGCCGACCGAGTTCTGATGCACGCACTGCCGTAGACGATGGCTGGGAGTCTGCCACGTGTCTATTCCTGCTGTGGCGAAGATGATCGCCTTGTTTCCCTTCGTAATCATTGTTGTGGTCGTTGTCGTCTTCCTCATTTTCCAACGCATTATCATACGCTATCCAAAACTGCAAATCTCCCGCCAACTGCGTCCCCACCAAGACACCACCATAGCCGCAGAGCTTGAATAACTCCCCATACAAGTAAAGCAACTCGTCAGGATCGTGCCGCTGGCTACCGAGTACATGTGGACTGAGGTAATCTCTCTGGTCGCCGCTGCCATTTTTGCGTAATCCTGCCAACCTCCACCCAATCTGAGACACAAAACGACAAAAAACACAATTATCCGTCAAAAAAATAGACAAAACGACACAACACACAGGACAGCAAACTCAAAACAAAATTGGCAGAATATTATTCTGAATAAGGGAACACAGCTGACCTTGCCCATGTGGTTGAATGACACGCACGCGGAAGTGTTTCTAGACAGATCATTGGTTCAAATCCTGTCGAATCAGATGGATACAGAAACGTTACAGACTACCCCACTTTCTTTTGAAAACTTTGGACCATTTCTCGATTTGTGTGTGTCATCCTTACACAGGGCTCTCCTCCCTCTCCTAAGGACGTTCCTTCTCTCTCTCTCTCTCTCTCTCTCTCTCTCTCTCTCTCTCTCTCTCTCTCTCTCTCTCTCTCTCTCTCTCTCTACCTCTCTCTCTCTCTCTCTCTCTCTCTCTCTCTCCACACACAAGTGCTGGGTGCTGCTTCTACTGGTGCGGTACTGGAGCAGTGCAGGCACTGGCAACATCAGGGCGGCCGGCTCCCCCGAATGTGTGCTCCCGTGCCCCGGCCTTTCTAATATAATGGCCATCGACTGGTGGCCACTGGTCAGCTGCGGACCACAATACTACCAGTCCCTACCCTAGTCCGTCTGGCTAAACCTGGCCTCCAGAAAACTGACCTGGCCAGAGCCGCTACTGGTCAAGTCCGGACCTATCATCATCTACAGCGTGCCCTGATCTCTGTGCCCGCCTCGCCTCTGAGAACAACAACAACAAAAAAGAGGAAAATGAAAAAGAAAAGGGCACCTGTTGTTCTCTGAGAATGGCAAAAAAGCCACTTACTTTGTTCTTTTTTTTTTATCTTTTTTTTTTTTTTTTTTTTTTTTAATGTTTTAGCATTTGAATTCCAACTTCTAACTCCTTTTTTGTTTTGTTTTACTCTGAGAACAACACAGGGGCACCAGTTGGCCTCTGAGAAAAAGCTTTAAAAAAAGTTTTAAAAAGTTAAAAAAACAACAAATAACGGTGGCCTCTCTGCTGGTTTTTGACATTTTACTATTTTAATATTTTAGTATGGAAGCAGCCAAGAATCTAGGTTGGCCGTGCAACACACACACGCACACACACACACACACACACACACACACACACACACACACACACACACACATACAAAGAAACAACATCCCCTTCCCCCCCCCCTCCCACCCCCCCCCACACACAATTTCAGATCGTTGGTTGTATGTTTGTGCATGATCTCTGATCTGAGTGCCACTCGTGGAACGTGCGCGGAAGGGAAGAAAAGAAGAAAAAGAAGATGTGTATCTGCCTCCGTTCTGTGACAATCACATGGCATTGCATCAAATGTGAAAGAAAAAAATCTTCCCCCATTTGAGGGGAGGATGCACTCACATGGATGTAATGAAGCCTGCAGATTCTCAGTGGCCTGTACATTGGGCCGAGGGCGAAGCTTGGGGCTTGCCTCGGTCGGGTCGTGTCTTAGGTTAGATTCGTAATTTTGTTTGGCTGAGGGCTAACCGAGAGACCTGCCTGTAAGGAAATTCGTGAGGGACATATTTGTAAATTCGGGAAAATATAGGCCCGTACTAACAGAATTCCCTACAGCTATCCTAACTGTGAATAGCAGGCCCGGGCTACCTCTAGGACAGACAGGCCCTAAGGGCCTACGCTGATAGACGGTCCTATAGCCTATAGCCGGGTTGGGAGAGGCCCTAGAGGCCGAAACAGAAACGGTACGGGTCGGTCAGTCAGTCCGGTCTAGGTCTAGGCTAGAGTAGACTATAGATAGGATGGGCACATCGGTTCAGGGCTTTTGGCAGTTCGTACCAAGTACATCGCTGCTGCGCTACGCGTGAACCGAAAGTGGTGACGGCTCAGCGTGGAAGGAGAGAGACATAGCCAGACCTTTGGAGCGCGGGCCATAGCTGGGACCTGCGCTGTACTCTCCCAGCACGTGGGGCTGTCAGAGGTCTGGGTTATCGAGGTCTGCTGGAGGCGAGAGAAGTTGGTGCCCTGCTGGACCCTCCTCCGGAGTGGGGTCACAGGGTTTGTGGCGCTGCAGCCATAGCTCCAGCTTCCTCCTCAAAGGTCATCTTGTCAGGGTTTGGTGGCGCTGCTGCAGACTTCCACCCAGGAAGTCTTCCGACACTTCGTCATCGTCAGATACTGTGGCGCTGGTCTTCTTCTTCATCCTCTGAGTGGCGCTTGACCTCAGAGGCCTGTTTCAGGGTGGCGCTGCTCTCTGTGGGCAGTAATTGGGTGGCGCTTGATGTTTCTGGGGCTCAGGGGTGTTACGAGTGGTTACTCAGGGTTGGGGAGAAGCGCTGCTCATTTCTGAGCAGCACACTGTAGGTCTGAAGTTATTCTGACAATTTGAGACTCTAAGTTTAATAAACAGTGTAATTCTGGGTTTGGACTATCATCGTTTCATTGTTTTCTGGATGTGCTCTACTCGGCTTTTCTTTATGACTGGTTGTGAGGACTGAGTGGAGTGAATTGCACTTTCAGTGTACCTTGTCATATCGCATAGTCAAGTCTTCCGATGTGTTTCTCTCTCCCTGTGCGGTGTGATACTCCTATCCTCTCCCCTTCCTTCTGTGTATGTATGGGCATACCTGGGAGTTCATGTGAGCGAGTGCTGGTCTTCAGACAGTAGACAACCAGAATCATAACAGTTGGTATCGGAGCGATTGGATCCAGACACTGGAACGGTTGATGAGTTGGAGCAACCATCATCATCTGGCGAGATACTGGAGTTGAGTTTCATGGTGATTCATCATCTTCAGGGTTGTTGTCAGTAAGGGTGGTGGTGGTGAGTGTGTGGCGAGAAGAATTGGACAGAGGGTGACTCACTCCTGACCAGGGTTGTGCAGGAGTGGTTGGCGATTGGTGCTTAAAGGCCTGAAAGGCTCTGAGAGGCTATTTTTAGCCTGGTGATTCATCAGGAGGCTGGCGATTGGCAAAGGAATGATCCCAGAAGGTTGCAATTGTGGAATTGGGTCAGGATCCCCAATTTCCAAGCAGCGCAGTACAGGGTGATGTGGCGCTGCACTGAGTTTGTCAGTTATCTGCACCTGGGAGTCCAAATTCATTGAATCTGTTAGTTGGGGGTGAAGCGCCTCAGGGTAATCTACTGGATCACCAAGTTTCAGGTAGTTTGGTACGTGGGAACACTAGGTGTCACCAGGAGATGAAACTGGCGAGATGGGGTTGATCAGTCAGCCATAGCCAAAGTTCCATGCATCTTCTTCAGAGTTGACCCTAAAGTAAGTGTGTTCCTTACTCTATCCTGTGTGGCGATTCTAGGGCTATTTTTAGATTAGCGAGATATGGTCTGTCAGTCAGTAGACAGTTGAAAATCAAAATTCAAAAATTGTGGGACAGCCATATCCAACTTCCCCTACCTATCTTCTTGGACTTCTACTAACCCTCTTTGATCTCCTTTCTGACTCAATTTCTACTTATGATTGTTTTACAGTGTTGTGATTCAGACTGTACTATGAATTGGATGTTTCAGGGCTCTGTTGGTAGTGATAATGTAAATTTGAATTTTGCGCTGCCATAGTTGAAGCTTGGCTGGACTAGGGTTAGTTGGAACTTAGATTCTGTCCGTTAGAATTCAAGTCTGTCAGTCCCTGGTAAATCGCAATTCAGTACTCAGCCTATGTCTGAACTCGCACATCCAGATTTGATGTTTTGAGTCAGCTACAATGAAAACTGTAATTCGCCATACCTAGGGTATGGCATACAAGGTCATACAGTGGTGAAGTCCTCAGGGTAGATCTAAAAATAGAATTTTTTGTAAATCGTTGCATCTTGGTCATCAGTGGATATCTGCTTATCTCTAATTAGTCACTCTGTCTAACTTCTAATCTCTACTAATCAGTCCAGGGCTACATCTTGCAATTAATTGATGCAATATTTGCAATTATTGCATTCAATTGTTGTGCCAAGGCAGGGATTGGAAAATCGTGAAATTGTTTTTTGTTGATATTACACTTAACTGATCCTGACCCTCAAGTCGTCTGCAGAGACTGAGCACTCACTTGCTCAGATTAACCGACTTTCTCTCTCCAGGCAGGTGGCAGCAACTGAGTGAGTACTGCAGAGAAAACTCAATTACTGCTACTTCTTGTTTGTCTCTGATTAATTGTTTATTTTATCTTAATTATGGGATAAATTAAAATGGCAGAAGCTGGGAAGGGAGAGGCTTCTGATGTGAAGCCTCAGATTCCGCTGGACCCCTTGGAGGCTGAACTGCGTGCTCAGGAGGAGAGACTCTGATTACAAGCACAGGCAATTGAGTCCCTAAAGGCTGAGCTGAAGAAGAAAGAAGAAGCATCTCAGAAGGAGGCCAGGAGAAAGTTGTTGATTGCGGATGTAGAGAAGATTAGAGTGAGTGGTACTTCTAGTCAGTAGAACAAGGACATGGTTGAGTTCATCCTCTGGCAGGATGACATTCACTAACTGGGACGACGGGATTACCAGTCTGGAGAGAAGCCACTCAACTCTCGCTAAGAAGCTAGATGATATATCTTCCAAACCGGATCTGATCTTTAACCATTTAAAGATCCCTACCACTCTGGCAGTTCCTCCTTCTCCTGGGCCCTCTCAAGGGAAACCTTCCTCACCCACACAATCCAGACACACATCTCCTCCCTCTACACCCAAATCAACAACACCTTCACAACCCTCAGCTCCATTTGATTTCCAGCGGCCCAAGCTGACCCCTCCACCCATGTTCTCTGGCGAGGACCCAAAGGTGGATGTTGCAGATTGGGTCACTGCACAAAGAACCTACCTGAGTGGGTTCAAATGTGATGAGGATGTAAAGGTGTCTGCCATCCTTGCTCGCTTGGAGAGGACTGCACTGAAATGGTCTACCTCCACCTCCAGCAAGCAAGGTATGGAAATGTCTGATTGGGCGCAGAGGCTGGAGGTGGCTGGATTTCTGCAGGCATTGCAGGATAGGTTTGCAGACAAGGAGCAAACCAGGAAAGCAACAGATAAAATTTTGTGCCTGGGCCAAAAGAAATTTGACGGCTCCCTGTCCAAACTTTATTCCACCTTTGAGAGTCTGACATCGACTCCAGGGTTAGAGATGAGTGAGCAGGATCTGCTCATTCATTTCTCGAGGGCAGTGCCTGAGCAATTTCAACTTGCCTTATTCTCTCAGGGCCACAAGGATTGGTGGTCCTTTGGCA